GTGTGTATAAATAAACATGTACAATTATGTGTAGTGTGACCTAAGTGTAAGTAGAAGTAGCACGACGTACCTGTAATCTTGCATATTTATGAGACAGACAAAAGACACCAGCAATCCTACCATCAAGTAAAACAATTACAGGCTTCGTTTCACACTCACTTGGCAGGACGGTAGTACCTCTCTGGGCGGTTGCTGTCTACCAACCTACTACCTATAAAAAATTTTTATATTAAAGGCCAGGGTTTATTCCCTGGACCTCAGCAAAGAAAGTCGCTTCTCTCACCGCTGGGCAACGGCGACAATTATAAATAATGCATATTGTGAGAAATTATTAGAGAAGTATATACAGTGGGGCCCTGCTTTACGGCGTTCCAATAATACGGTCATTTCAAATTATGACCAAAACTCTCTATACGGCTCCCCCCACTTGACTTTCAAATACAGTGGACCCTCACCTAACGATATTAATTGGTACCCGAGAACGAATATCATTAGGCGAGTTTTTTAGCGTTGGCCGAGGCAAAATGTTAGAGTTAAAATGCATCGTTAGGCGGATTTAGCGTTACGCGATGCGTTCGTTAGGCGAGGGTCCACTGTATGGTCACTGTGCCCCACCCAGTTTGTTTACATTCTCTGTGAGCTCCGTAAGCACTACATCTCTCCATTATGTTTGGAAACTCCAAAATTTCAGGTGTTTTTAAAAGTTATTTCATATTTTATATATACATACTCTGATAATTATACTTATGTATACCTGTACCTGTGCTGGCATGCAGGTGCACATTAAAATCAGTAAGTGTCTTATGTCTCGAGACTCCATATTAGTAATGATAATAATAATACTCAATAATAATCACTGAGTCTCATTAAATGTCGTATATTATGTTAATATACACATTTTCATTAATCCATCTATGATATTTTTTGAAAATTATATAATAAACATGATACATAACATATAAAAATGATAAATACACCCCACAGTAGAATAAATAAACGAGTGATGGCAAGAATAATGTTTTCTCTAGTCCAACATAAGAGAAAATGTATTACTGGCCATAACTGTAGAAAATTATTCCTTTTTTATGCCTTCACTCAGAGCTTCATTTCTTCTAAAGATGGTGTTACACGAAAATGGGAGTGTTCCTCTTTATTTATTCTACCGTGCATGAGAGTGTTCGATAGGAGTGAATGGAGACTAATGGTATTTGGGACCTGATGATCTGTTAGAGTGTGAGCAGGGTAATATTTAGTAAAGGGATTCAGGGAAACCGGTTATTTTTATATAGCCGAACTTGAGTCCTGGAAATGGGAAGTACAATGCCTGCACTCTAAAGGAGGAGTTTCGGGATATTAGCAGATTGGAGTGATATGTTGTGTATCTTTATATGTATATGCTTCTAAACTGTTGTGTTCTGAGCACCTCTGCAAAAATGTGTTTATGTGTGAGTGAGATGAAAGTGTTGAATGATGATGAAAGTATTTTCTTTTTGGGGATTTTCTTTCTTTTTGGGTCACCCTGCCTCGGTGGGAGACGGCCGACTTGTTAAAAAAATCAATGTAGAGACAACTTATACACAACATAACTTGTACACAAACCAGACGTGTTCTCCTGGTTTGTTTACAAAACTCTGTGAGTATCCTCTCTCGTGTACTCATTCTCTCTCTCTCTCTCTCTCTCTCTCTCTCTCTCTCTCTCTCTCTCTCTCTCTCTCTCTCTCTCTCTCTCTCTCTCTCTCTCTCTCTCTCTCTCTCTCTCTCTCTCTCTCTCTCTCTCTCTCTATCTCTATCTCTCTCTCTCTATCTCTCTCTCTATCTCTCTCTCTATCTCTCTCTCTATCTCTCTCTCTATCTCTCTCTCTATCTCTCTCTCTATCTCTCTCTATCTCTCTCTCTATCTCTCTCTCTATCTCTCTCTCTATCTCTCTCTCTATCTCTCTCTCTCTATCTCTCTCTCTCTCTCTCTCTCTCTCTCTCTCTCTCTCTCTCTCTCTCTCTCTCTCTCTCTCTTTCATTCATTCATTCAATTTATCTCGTTTACTCACCTTTGACCTTACATTAAGACTACAAATATTTTAAGGTAAGTAATGAGTGAACTGTATATGCATTTTATTACTCTGGGACACATAAATGTCATAGAATATTATGTGTGGATGGGTTGGCCTGGTATGGTAGCCTGGCTGGCTACCATACATACCACACTTGATTTCTTACAATAAATACTATTCATCTCACCCTAGATAAAGACTACAAATATTTTAAGGTAAGTAATGAGTGTACTATATGTGTATTTTACTTTTTTATTGTTTTAATGCCTAGTTCTATTGCTAACTTAATATATGTCAGTGTAAACTTGTTATCTAGTATTTATGTGCATTTATAAGTGGAAATAAAAAGATGTTCCACTTTACGGCGATTTCCGCTTTACGGTGGTAGCCTGGAACCTAACCTGCCATATAAGTGGGGCCCTACTGTACTGGTTACAGTTTGTTGAATTTACTAAGCTGGCCTTGATTTTTTTATTGTTCTTATTTACATTTTTCTTCAAGAGTACCAAACAGTAATAAACCAATTAGATGGACTTGAATTTGTATGTGGTAAGTACAGTGCCTGCACCCAGAGGGAGGGGTAGAGATGTGGCAGTTGGTAGTGTCATTTGAATTGTGATGTCTGCACACTACATCAATATAGCTATTGGAAGAATGATGGTGAATGTATTGCCCTTTATTTTTTATGTTTGAAAATAAAAATTGTTTTGGTAAGTACAGTATAGTAGTCTGAACAAGGATGGAAAAATCACACTGGCCATCCTGCTAGGTATTAGAAAATTGTATGTACATTGTTAAATAAAGATACCTGTAATGTTGGTAAATGAATAGGTGTGGTAGATAGGTGTGTTTGCATTTCAGTACAGTGGACCCCGGCCTTACGATATTAACCCTTTCAGGGTCGGCAGAGCCTCTCCTAAACTTGTTCTCAGGGTCGGAAATTTTTCGACAAAAAATTATTTTTTCTTAAGAAATGATAGAGAATCTTTTCCCAATCATAATGACACCAAAAGTATGAAATTTGATGGAAAATTTACGGAGTTATGCTCTCGCGAAGTTAGCGGTCTCAATGATGTTTACGCATCAGCGATTTCGCCCACTTTGAGCCCTATTTTCGGCCAATTCCAATGTACCAGTCGACAAAAATCATACCGGTTTCACTAGAACTCCATTTTTTCTATTGAATGAGTACAAGAAACCACCCATTTACCGATTTCCACTATCCAGTAACGTGGTCAGAAATTGGCAATTTTGCCAATTTCACACAATTTTCAAAAGATGCCAATTTCCAAATAGGGTCCAGAATATACAAGACAGACATTTGTGGCACTAAAATAACATTTCCTCTGTTCATTACTCATGTCCCCAGGCCTCTGTTACATTTCTTTTGCTTTCCACTTTGAATTTTTATTCTTACAAAAAATAGAAGATTTATGTTATGCAGACTACTGCATTCGTGTAGAAGTGGCATAGAAATGGTATAAATAATATCTGGGCACTTGTGAAAGAACATTACACTCACCAGTTGACGTGTATTGGACGCGTGGCATGATTTGTTTACCTTTGAATTTGGCAAAAATCGAACATTTCTGCTACTTTGAGCTCAATTTCAAGGTACTTTTCATTGTGAAACCAATCAAAATCATCTCAATTTCCATAATAAGTCTTCCATTCTATAAATTGAGACCAGGAAAACTAGAATACAACCACAAATAGCATACGAAAATACACTGCAAAGTTGCTGTTTTAAACCAAAAACACGGATGGAGTTTTTTTTTCTCATTATGCACTGTGTGCTGCAGGATTTTTTTATACTGTGCACACTGACCACATAGACCCATTCTTTCATATGTAGGCCTACCAGCTTTCTCTCGCTAGATTTGAAGGTGCTAGAATTTATGCGTACTAGTACGGCACCAACCCTGGCGTGCAAGCCGTACTAGTACGGCACCAACCCTGAAAGGGTTAATCCGTTCCTGAGAGCTCATTGTAAGCTGAAATTATCGTTAACCGAATTAATTTCCTCCATAAGAAATAATGGAATCAAATTAATCTGTTCCTGACACCCCAAAGTATGAAAAAAAAAATTTTTTTACCACATGAAATGTAAATTTTAATACACACAAACTGAAGAACACATGCACAATTACTACTCTACTAAGAATAGAATATATGACACTTACCTTTATTGAAGATCTGGTGATGATTGATGGGATGGGAGGAGGGGAGAGCGTGGAAGTTATTGTTTAGAAGGGGAATCTCCTTCCATTAGGACTTGAGGTAGCAAGTCCTTTTCTGGGGTTACTTCCCTTCTTCCTTTAATGCCACTAGGGCCAGCTTGAGAGTCACTAGACCTCTGTTGCACAACAGATCTGTCCATAGAGCTCTGTACCTCTCGTTCCTTTAAGACTTTCCTAAAATGGGCCATAACATTGTCATTGTACAGGTTGCCAACACGGCTTGCAGTAGCTGTGTCAGGGTGATTTTCATCCGTAAAGGTTTGCAGTTCAACCCACTTTGCACACATTTCCTTAAACTCTTTTTTCAATTCCATACTAATTCTCACCCTTTTTACCACAGGGATGGCACTAGAAGCTTTCTTGGGGTCCATGGTGACTTATTTTGCAGTTACAAGCACTAAAAATACTGGGATAATGTGAAATGTACCGAATGTATGAGTAGATGCGACCGCACTGGCTGGTTTGTAAACACTGGCGCTGAGGCCACACGTGGGACGCGTCCCGGACAAATCACGTAAGGCGAGTTTTTTATCATGAGGCAAAGCAAAATTTTTGCATTCAAATGCTTCGTATGGTGGATTTAATTTAATGCGATGCGTTCGTAAGGCAGGGGTCCGTTGTACTTTGTTACCATATCACAATTTTCTTTTTTCTTACTCTTGGGCTCATTACAGACTAATGACTAATCATGTATATTTTTCCTCTTCTATAGAGTACAAAACAGGATGGTGGCATGTTGGGGACCTTGAGCAGCTTCGTGAAATGATTGCTGCATTAAATGAAAGAGGTGTAAGAGAACGAGAGCTTAAGCGCTTCATTGAGAAGAATCTTACTATAGTAAAGAATGCCCTTTCTAAAGTAAGTCATTTATACCTGATGATTTAAAATTGTTCATCATGTGAATATTGTGACTAATTTTGTGAAGAATGTAGATTATGTATATTACATATATATTTAACAAATTATCTTGTTAGGAACTTTGATAAATAAGGCTTTCTTTTTATGGTTTACATTTTTGTCCATATGGAAATATTCTTCAGAAATTTGACTGAAAAGGCTAAAGCAGATAATTCTAAAGTGGTTAAATTTGTGTAATTATGCTCACTAACTGTGAACACTTGTTAGCTAATATACAATTATTTAAAACATTTGTACACAACAGAATTGACTGTATATAATTTACAAATAATATAGCAGGTAGCTGTTGAGTCCTAAGGATTAGTGTAACTAATTAGTTCTGAGAGATGCAGATGCTGAAGAGTGAAACATTTAGCATTATCCTGCTTTGCCTTCTTCACACTTGGCGATATTTTCACGTTTTTGTAATGTGGATGGTTTCTAGTCCTGTATTTGAGCAGTGGAATACTTTTCATGTAGCGGACACACAAAAACAGACTGGCTCTGGTGGCATCCGTGAGTAAAGTAAAATGCAAATCTCACTCTCAGTCATTGTTTGTGGCTTTGTCAAATATTTTTTATAGCTGCATTTCGTTTCCATCTGCATCAGTGCATATCTGAGTGAAGTTGAAGTCCTAGGGGCATGATAGTCCTAAGCTAGGCTTAGAGGCTGTCACCAAATATTGTATCCAAACATTTCTTCTGATATAACTTAGATAAATGACTGCTTCCAGTTATTTCTGAGTAAATTACACTGGAAGTGCCTTTTTATTGGCATGTGATGAAGCGATGCACTACAAAGCAATTTTTTTTGGTACTCGTGTTTAAGATTTTCTGTTCAGAGGTGAAAGGCTTCATCTTCATAATATCATAATATTCTACATTCTGAGTCAAGTGACGTGCAAATTTATTTTACATATTTCGCCAACTAATTGTTTTTGGTTGATTATTGCTCTTTATATTCACTGAAGCAGTCTGCAACTAGTTTTCACTATTTGTAGGCTATAGTGAGTTGCTTTTAAATATAGTACTGTAGTTATTACTTGCTTCCACTAAGAAATAAGAATAATGTATAAGTGAAAAATCCTAGTTACCTCTGCACATACATAAGTGTTATAATGTAGTATAGTATAGTATTTGAGTGAGAGAGAAAGCTGTTATGTGAAAGAAAAGTTAAGGAATAGGATAATATTGCATAGGGTAAACATTAGCTAGAAAATTAAGATTTTTTTTTATTTTAGTTCCCTTGTCAGTTTGCTTCTAAGGTTAACTATGCTAAACAAAGCTGATGCCTAAAAATAATTGAAAAATTATTACAACTATTACACATCAAGTGACTTACATTGATGCTATGTGTTAGTATTAGCTATGTACTGTTTAAAACATTGTTTACTATTTTTCTAAGAAATTGACCCTTTAGTTAAAGCTGTTAACATGGACTTTCCAATAGAAAGTCTTTAGTCTAGTGACTGAAGTAGTGTGAAAATGTTATTAAGGCAGAATACATTTGGATATGTGACTTAATTAGTAAAGACTTAAGTTTTGTAATTTGGTAGCATAATGCTTTCATTTTATGTACGTGTGTGACATTGAATATATAATTTGTAAGGATTTTCCAAATTGTTGGCCATGCAGATTGCTGGTGATGATGGCTCTGGAGCATTGTTGTGGTGCTGGGATGGGATGAGGCCTGGGTCACTTTAGCAATACAGAACCAGTCATATATTTATTGGCCCTGCTTTATAAATCAGGTCATTTAGAGACCTAATTGAAGTAAAGCTTTCAGTAAATACAAGAGGGGTAAAAGTGAATCACAGATTTCCTGAGCCAAAATGAAACTTTAAATCAAAATAAACTGTGTATATACAGATTCCTAGCAGGCTGCTATGTTATCTTTTATCTGCTCACTTCAAGGATCACCAAAGGCATGCAAGGATAATATTTACTCCTGCACATTGACATGCACATTGTGGCAAGATATAGATACTGCACCTTCCCAAGTACAGTGAACCGAGTAGTAAGTGAAGGTGTTAATGACCAGTTAACTTAGCAGTTTAATACTCTACAACATAGATTTACAGCCATGAGGTAAACTGTTAATGCTGTGAGTCCATGAATTATTTTTTATTGGTTCACTTTGACCATTACATAACATACATCTTGGATCTGAAGCGCCAATGTAATGCCAAGTTCAGCATGCACAACCTATGTGAAGCCCATGGTTTACGTTTTGTCACCATGTCAGGCATGAACAGCTTTAAATGAGGAAATAAATATTTTAGATATTTGAGAAAGTGAGGAAACTGACAGACTGTCTAATAATTAGTTCCTGTAAAGATTTACTACTTAAAGACTTGATTGGACTCTCTATTAGAGGGACAGAGTGCTGCAAAGAAGAAAATTAAACAGACTACAGTCCTTGTGTCTGAAACTAATAGTTAAGATGAACAGCGTTATGAGCAAAAATATACAGAACATATGAGAAAAAAACTTCATTTTAGTGGAGGATACGTGACATAAGGGGTTTCACTTTTTGTTGCTTCTATTAGAAGCATTGATTTCCATTCCACGAATGGTAGATGTACATGTTCACCAGAATTCGTCTATGCAGTACTTACAAATACTGTAATAGGGTTTTATTTGAGCATCACATACTCAGCAGATACATGCTGTGTCTGTGGCATACCTGTGACTGGTTTTGAAGGTTCTTTTACCTTCACAACGTGGCCTGTAGCCAGAAGTTTTTTGACTGACTTATAAACCAGGCTGTTGCAACTGTTGGATGACAGGCCTTCATAACCATCACAGCCTGGCTTATCTGACACTTCCTGTAGGAATAGGTCTAGTTCCCTCTTGAAAACCTCTGCTTTTGTTCAAGCAGTATTTCTCATAGCTATCTGCTGGGAGATAGCTATGAGAGTCATGCACAGCAGATTGACACAGTGCTCCCAGATTTTTTCAATGATAGCCCTGCTTTTCACTGGGTTTATCTTACACTTCCTCTATCTCTCCAGTAAGTGATTATGGCAGTGTGAAGATTGGGGACCTGACACTTAAATATTTTCTATTTGCATCATATATTATCGGGTATTTTTCTCTTCTTCATTTCAGATAATGCATTGTAAAGGTTTTGAGACATTTCCAGTAATTTAGATGTTTTATTCATTCTTTCTGAGCTGTAAAGAATCTCTGTACATTGTACATTTTCCAACTGTGATATATCTCCTGATTTGAATGGCATGGTGAGAATATAACAATATTTGGAATATGAAGAACAAGGGATCTAAATAGTACAGTACTATCACTAGTGTGATTTCTCTTGTTTTGAAAGTTGTCATAATCCAACCTATCATTTTCCTAGTTTCCGAAGCATTTCCTTTACTGTGTTCATTAAACGATAAGTCATCTGTTATTAGTCTATAATATACTCTGCCTGCATTCTGCCCTGTGTTTATTTTGAGGTCTCAATTCTATTTATATCAAATCAATTTGAATTTATTGCATTTGAACATCATGATAGTTTCCTTTGTTTGCTGGAGAACAGTGTTAATATCTGTTTGTAATCTTTTTAAGCCATCTACTGACATAACTTTCTTACTTAGAGTAGACAGCTATCTTTTGTTCCAGAAACACAGAACTATACATTAAATCATGATGGATGGAGTGAATAACTCATGGGATAAATTGGGTTACATTCCATGCCTCTTCCAAAAAAGCCAATTTTTTTTAGTAGACAATTTATCTAAAATAATAAACTGAGTATTGTACAGTGATCTTATGTGGACATTAGAGCACAGTATTACAGTATGATACATGACGATTTAAACTGACATAACCTAATGAAGTCAAGCATGTAAATACACTTATATACCTTAAATTCTTTTGTGTGTGCGTGTGCATGTGCGTGCATGCGTGCACACGCAAGTGGGTGCATGCATGAGTGTGAGTGTGTGCATGTGTTTGTATCTGAGTTATCTAAAACTATATTGACATATTGGGCATAACTGACGTGGTACTAAATAATAAGTATGTAGAATTATAGACATAGAAGCTCTAACCTAATTTTTTATACTGTATTTCTAATTTGCTTTGCTTTTTACCTGTTATCAGTATTGTCATCGTGTTATGTAGCAATAGTAATTGTTTTGTCTTTGTTGCAAGAAATGTACAAAATAAGCCATGGAAATGGGAAATAAAATGTCATATGTTTAATAATAAATACTTAAAATGATGAGCAGGAGGCAAAAAATGTGCTTGCCTAATATATCTTAACTAATTTTTTTTTACACATTCATGTACATTACAATAGATGCTTATTTAAGTTCACATTTTAAGCTCTTTAAAATTACAATGTAGCCTAGAAATGCTCAGTATGACCCCTATATACTACAGAGAAGAGGAGTTTAAATTACAGAAAATCTTAAAATTAATGCAATAGTAATGTTGTAGAGTGAAGGTGAGAAGCAAGGTACCTGCACTCTGAAGGTTAGGTGGAGATGCTGTGTTTTTGTGTGAATTCATTGAATTTTGGTAAATTTTTTTAGTCATATGCAATAGATCCCAGACTTAAAATCAGGGCACTTTGGATTAAAGTTATAACTTATAACTGTTTAAACCTTTCAGGGTCCAGACCCCTGATCTGAGACTTGTTCACAGGGTCCAAGAATTTAAAAAAAAAAAAAAATATTTTTTCTTATGAAATGGAAGAGAATATTTTTCTTAAGGCAGTAAAACAAAAAGTACAAAATTTAATGGAAAATGGATGGAATTATGCTCTTGCAAATTTTGCTGTGTCAGCGATATTTACGCATTAGTGATTTTGCTCAATTTAACTCCCATTTTAGGCCAATTGCATTATTCCACTCGATCAAATTCTTAGGTATTTCGCTAGTATCACTTCTGCTTTATTGATTGAGGACAAAAAATCGCCTAGTCAACTATTTCATCTATCCAATAAATTGACCAGAAATTTGTAATTAGGCCAATTTCACACAAAGTTCAAAATATTCCAGTTTCAAAATAGGGTCCAGAATAAACAAAGCAGGCATTCCTGGCACTAAAATAACATTTCCTCTGTTTATTAGTTATGTTTCCAGGCTTTATATAAATGAATTCCATATTGATTTTTTTATTCATATAATGAATTTTTATTTACACCAAAAAATAGAAGATTTACTGTTATGCAATATTGTAATAATTGTATAAATAATATCAGGGCATTTGTGAACATATATTAGACCCACCAGTTGACATGTATTGGATGTGTGACGTCATTTGTTTACTCTTGAACATTGGCAAAAATCGAACATTTCTACTAATTTGAGCTCGGTTTCAATCCATTTTCAGTACTAAAACCAATCAAAATAATCTCTATTTCTGTAATATATCTTCCATTCTGTCAAATGAGACTAAGAAACCGCGAATGCAAATGTAAAAAACATACTAATATACATCGCAAATTCGCTGTTTTAATCCAAAAACAGTCTCATTTTTTCTCATTATGCACTGCTTGCTGC